GGTATATATCATTTATTTCTAAATCTGTATATAAAATAAGAAATTTAATTTCATAAATATCTTTTGAATGATTTTATTTAATTTTAAATTTTTAAAATAATTCATAAGAAATTTTTTAATAATTTAAATTATAATTTTATAATTATTTTATATAATTTAAAATTATATTTAATTTTTAAAAAATACTTTTAGTGAGGACAAATGTTATCATAAAAGTAATTTTATAAATTATTTTTTATAAAAATACTTTTGGTGGCTACAAATGTCACCATCAAAAGTAAATTATAAAAATTATTTTTTATATAAATATTTTTGCAGCGACAACTGAACTTTTAACACTTTTGGCAACGAAAAATCAAGGTCACTATCAAAATAACAATGTTGATTTATCATCATTAAAAGTTTACTTTTAATAATAACTTTTTTAATTTCCTTTAAAACTCACCCTAAAATTTTTTTTATAGTAAAGGTTAAAAAGGAAAAAACATGTTAATTTTTTATTAGAATAATGAAATAATTAAATTTGTTGGTATATAAAATATAGTTGAAAGTATCTTATAATTTGGATAAAAGACAGTAATAATTTAGTAAATGTGAATAATTATATCTCTGCATTTTTTTTTAGTTAAATGATCACATAGTATATTACTCCTTCCTGACCTTATAATATGGTGCCTTCTAAAAAATTTCTTTGTCCTTAATATAAGTTTCTTTACAAGAGTTTGTGTAACATTAATTGCTTTACTTCAAATATGCCATTAATTTTCAATGAGGAAATAAAAATGTTCATTTTTTAAATTTATAGTATTTATTAAGGCTGAAAATAGAAATCAAAGCAACTTTTAGATAATCAATAATTTCATGTAAGTTGGTTATAATATAAGTTATTACTTATAATAAAAATGTGAGGGAATATTTTTTTTACCTTAACAAAACACTAAACTACTCCTTCCATTCCTAATTATAAGAGCCAATTTTGAGGGAAATGATGTCCTTGTTACAAGATCTTTTTACAGAATTCTAGGAGTAATTAAACAAGTTTTAATGAATGATTAAAATCTCATGGCCCACTTTGTTAACAAAAATTTAAAGATTTGAGTTGTGAAAATCATGACATTTTATCGAGAGAGAAAATTGAAAATGATAAAAAAATATTTTAAACACCAACTAGTCTAACATGTTTTTTATATTTGTGGATAAGAAACTCGACTGTTATCATCAGGGATAGAGGAAATATTTTTCTTTCACTAATTGAATTATTTTACATAACTAATTTGTTTCCCATTCAGAAATAAGACTATTTATCTAGTTTTATTATAATTTTGAAAAATAAAATTACAGTCTCATAATAAAATTTAGTTTCGACGGAGCTGTCTATAATATTTTATTGAGAATAAAATCCCAATGTAGTAAAAAAAAAATCGATTTTTGACTCAAAGAAAATCAATTTTAATTTGCCGGATATCTTAGTAAAATGCATGTTGAGGGGCATAACAAATCTATGATGCAGGTTACGCGCCAGAAATTGGGTGTTTTTAATATTGCCAACAACCTTCCTATAAATAAAGTGAAGCTTCTAAGAAGAAAATGACATTCACCAAGTGATGCTTTTGAGTCTGCAATCGACTAAACTGTAAATTGACAAGTTCCGAATCACGGGAGCTTCACAGCGTGCAGTGAACAGCTCACAAATCATGGCTTAGAAAAGATGAAATCATAACTTTGACTGACAAGGACCTCCATTTTCTCATAACTACAAGCATGATTACTTCACATTAGACTAATTGACAAATAATATGTTTTTTTTTAGGACAACAAACAAGCACATTATCAGACAGACATGATGTTCGAAATTTGATCTCTTTTATAAAAAAAATTGAATTAGACAATTGGTGATCTCATCTAATTTTTTTTTTTAAAAAAAAAACCCATGGTTGGGCGATATAGTTCATCCTCACTCTTGTAACGCTAAGTAAGATCTCACCATTTTTACGTACACAAAACTGATAAATTTAAACATACAAGACTAAGAACACTACTAATCAACAACTTAAAAAATTATATTAAAAATTATATAAAATTAAGAACACTGATATGTGAGAAATCGTAGCGATGAGATGGATATCATCAATTATATTGAGAAATTTATATCAAAAAAAGGAGAATATAAACGTAGGATCGATGATGTGACGTAATAATAAAAAAAGTTATTAAAATCTGAAATTTCAATTCAATTCAGTAAGATTGGAATGAAATTAACTTAAGTGATAAAAGAATCAAAATAACCTCTACATAAAGTTTATAAACATTTAAAAATAGCAGTCAGATTTATATGTAATATTTAAAAGTTAACAATTAAAATTAAAAAAATTAACAATTAAAGTTGCTTCATAAGTTACTTGTTCGATTAATTTATTAGAACTTATGAAAGAATATTAGTTGTTAATTTTTCAACTTTACTTATTAATTTTTCAACATCACTTGTAAATTACTTTATTTGATTTGACAATTCTTAATTTGTTCTATCAATTTGTTTAGGACTTATGAAGTAACATCAAATGATAATATCCCAACTTATTAATTATCCAATATCACTTATAAATTATTTTACTTAACTTGTTAATCCTTGAGAAAATGAGAATACTTATTCAATCAGTTTACCCGAATTTATGAAATAACCTCAGTTGTTAATTTCTCAGCATTACATGTAAGTTTGACTACTATTTTTTTAATGTTTACATTGAAGTTATTTCAGTCTTTTTATCATTTAAATTAATTTCATTTTAATTCTCTTAGATTAAATTAAAATTTCATATTCTAATGAGTTTTTTTTATTTTTATGTCACATCTTTAGTCCTTTCTTAAATTTCGCCCTATTAAAAAAAATTATAGGATAAGGACTAAATAAAGTGATTTGATTACTCAATCACATGTTTAGTCCAATATAAATAGAAGGTCTCCTTTGGTTTGGTCTTTTTTCTTTTGCATGGGACCATGGATGGAATCAAAAAATTTTATTAAGGGTCCTAGGATGACAAATTATATATGATAGTTGAAAAAAATTTAAATCTATATATATCACCAACATAATATAGATATTTAACATATATATTTATATTTAATTTTTCACATAAAAAAATAAATATATATTTATTTTTTAAGTTTGCTCATCAATTTTTCAAGGTATAAAGTTCATTAGTTGTCATGTCTATGATAAATGTTTTGGTAATTTCATTTTTAATATAAAATATTATTAAATTGATAAAAATTTTATCTTTCCTATGAACATTAAATGATTTAAATATATCATTCAAATTTAAAGTTATGTTAAATGTAATAAGCTCTATTATTTACTTATTAAATTTATTATCTAATTCTTTCAATTGATAATCATAGTAAATAAATACATTAATACAATAATGATGCTCAATTGCTCCAAAATTTTTATGTCGATGAGATTGAATTATATCAAAGTAAAAATCATTCATATAATAAATTTTAATAATTTAATTATTAAAAAATTTAATTTTTTTATACGGACACTTTAACTATAACTTCTTAACTTTTGAACAAATGATTGGTAGATATTAAGTACATAGCATTTAATATATTTTAAGATTTTTATTGCAATGCTTGACAAATTTTGTTAATAATAATTCTTATAATTTCTTTCATCAAATAAAAAATGAAAGAAAAATAAAATGAAATTAATATTTTAAGAACATGTGTAGTGTTATTTTATTAAAAATAATAAATTATATAACAACTATATTTTCAAGCCATTAAAACAATTGCACTATACAAATCTAAAATACTACATATAAAATTAAAATAAAAATTTCATCTACTGCTTTAGAATTTCTAAGGGGCCAAAAAATATATAACCCCTAAATTTTATTAAAAAATTTAAAAAGTTAGGAAGGGTTGTGGCTTTTGCTAGTCTCCATATTTTCACCCCTACATTAGACCATTTTTGCCCCAGCTTCTAGCCTTTTACTTTATGTTTTTTACTCTCTTCATTCTAATTTATAAGATAATTTTAAAGGTAATTTGATGTTCTAAAATATAAAACAATTTCATAAAAATAAAGTTTTATTAAATATACTTTCCTTATACTATCATTTCCTATTTATTATAAGAAAAATAACAAATAAATTCCTTCAAAATAAACAAATGACAAAATAGTATGACAAAGTAAGATAAATACTTTGAAGTCCTTAGACATTGACCAATCATATTTTTTTTTTTTGCAAAGTTATGTTCCTGACTCTACAAAATAATATAAAGCACTGTTGTTAATATTTAAACTAAAATTATTAATAACAAATATAAAGTGGTTAATGTGGGAAATGGCTATTATTGCAAGACTGAATTAAAGTTTTGACTATCTGTGTTATTAATGCTTTAATTGAAATTGTTAACATAAAAAAATGTACATGCTATTACACAACTAAATTAATAATTAAGCTTCTTATATTAATAATTTTACTTTTAATATTAATAATTTCAATTTAGATATTAATAGCTATAATTTTTTATTTTATTTAGAGTTAAAAATATAATTTTACAAAAAATTATATTTGATTAATCCCTAAAGGCTTGGCAATAATTATTACATTTCATGATATTTATTCATCATTTACTTATTTTGATAGAATTTATTTATCATCCTTCTTTTATTATATTTTTCTTTGAGGTTATTGATTGAATGATATTTAAAAAAAAATTATATTCATATTTTAAAAAAATAATATTATAAAATATATTTAATAAATTTGATTAGTATACGTAATTTTATTTAAAATTATCCTAAACGGACATATAGATTAACTTATCAATTAAAATATTAATCGTTTTTTTTTTAAAAAGGAAGGTTCTACTTCTAATGTTCCAACTAAAATATCTATGCTTTTGGTCCATACGTCATACGGTATCCACATAGTAAATTAAATATAATTGAATTCTCGAACCAAGCTTTCAGACTCAATTTACTCTGTTTCACCCTCCAACCTCCAACTCCAACTCCGACTAATTTGACGTAAGCACCTCTCTTTGAAACCAATAAAGCCAAGCTCCACTTCCACTCCATCTTCCACTCCCACTCCACATTTGTCTTCTATCTTTTGCTTCCCCAGTTCAGTTTCTGGGCTCTGCAACTAAAAATTATGGCCATGACGAATCAAGCATCCGTTTTCTTCATCATAGCACTTCTATTTTCCCTTTCTGTTCTTCATTCTACTTCTTCTCGCAGCTTCCAACCTGAGGCTTCTGAATTCTCCACCACTGTTCTTGATGTATCAGCCTCGCTTGACCAAGCCCAGAAGCTCCTTAGCTTCAACCCTGATATTCTTGAATCTGATAACCTGCAAGATGAAGAAACTAAGAGCACTTCTAGTTCTTCTTCATTCTCCGTTCGATTACACTCTAGAGAAACTTTACTCAATTCCCAGCACAAGGATTACAAGGACCTGGTCCTGACCCGACTCGAGCGGGATTCGGCCCGAGTGAATTCGTTGAACGCCAAGCTCCAGCTAGCTCTCAACCAAGTCAAAAGGTCGGATCTTCACCCGATTGAAGTGGAGCTCCAGCCTGAAGATCTCTCAACGCCTGTTTCTTCAGGCATCAGTCAAGGAAGCGGCGAGTACTTTTCCAGAATCGGGGTGGGACAACCATCCAAGCCTTTCTACATGGCCCTTGACACCGGAAGCGATGTCACCTGGCTTCAGTGCCAGCCTTGTAATGATTGTTACCAACAATCCGACCCGATATTCGAGCCCTCCGGATCTTCTTCTTACAGCTCGCTTTCTTGCAACGCCCCACAGTGCCAGGCTTTGGCTATCTCGGCTTGTCGGAGCGGCAAGTGTCTGTACCAGGTGTCGTACGGTGATGGGTCCTTCACCGTCGGTGAGTTCGTCACTGAAACGGTTTCCTTTGGGAACTCCGGCTCTCTTAATCGCATCGCTCTCGGGTGTGGCCACGACAACGAAGGTTTGTTTGTTGGTGCCGCCGGTTTACTTGGACTCGGCGGCGGGCCACTGTCACTCACATCTCAGATTAAAGCGTCGTCATTTTCGTACTGCCTGGTCGATCGCGACTCGAGTAAATCGTCGACTCTGGAGTTCAACTCGGCCACCCCGAGTGACTCGGTCACTGCCTCGTTATTAAAGAACAGCAAGGTGGACACTTTCTACTACGTCGGACTCACCGGAATCAGCGTCGGAGGCCGAACGATCTCCTTGCCACCGTCAACCTTTGCTATGGACCAATCTGGAAGAGGTGGAGTCATCATAGACTCAGGAACAGCCATTACACGGTTTCAAAGCGAAGCGTATAACGCAGTCCGTGACGAGTTTCGGAGATTAACTCAGAACCTGCGCTCCACTGGTGGGTTTGCTCTGTTCGACACCTGCTACGATTTGTCTTCACTGAGGAGCGTGTCGGTGCCGACGGTGGCGTTTCACTTCAGCGGCGGGAAATCTTGGCAGCTGCCAGCAAAGAACTACCTGATCCCGGTGGATTCGGCCGGGACGTTCTGCTTCGCATTTGCTCCGTCGTCGCAGTCATTATCGATAATAGGAAATGTGCAGCAACAGGGGACACGTGTCAGCTTTGATCTGGCAAACTCAATAATGGCATTCTCGCCCAACAAATGTTAGATGCGAAATCCCGTACTTACCCTTCCCGCCATAAGAAGATTGGATTACTGTCTCATCCGCAGCATAAGTGTGTACTGTAGATTGAATGTAGTTGGGTGGTGTGTGGATGCCCAAATGGGCCCACTGTATTTAAGTTGAGTGGAACATTTGGGGCCGGGTTGGGGCGACTCGTGATAATAAAATTATCATAAATTGTAATTGTAATTTTGGAAAATGATTTGTAATGTTTTTTTTTTTGGCCAGAAAAATGGTTTGCAGTGTATAACTCAGACTTGACAGAAGATATATTAATGGCTTAGTTGCAGGAGTGCTGGCAGCCTGGCACACTTCAGGCCCAAAAACATTGAGAAGGTGAGATGTGATATACTGCAAGGTACAATAATACATGCTTGACCATTAGTAATGAATTATACATATGTTTGCATCTAAGATGTTTTTTTTTTCAAAAAGAATGTAGTTATTACTAATATAAATATAATATTTTCATATTACTAATATAATTTAATAACATAACTAGATGCACGGCATATTTTAATATTTAAAAATTAAAAATTAAAAATAATTTATTTTTGTGTACTCAACAATATCATATTTTGTTAATTTACTTAAATTAATAATTTATTATATAAGAAAAATTGTTTTGCACATACCTAATTAAAGGTAAAAATAATTATTCATTTTATTTTAAAGTGTTTTATTTTTGGGATATATTTGTATTTTTTCTTTGATTAATATGTGAAGTTGAAAAAATATACTTTTTATTAAGTCTTCCTAATGATTAATTAAAAAAATTGCCCTGATAAAAAAAACCATGGTTATTGTTCATACGACTATAGATGATCAGTATCCTTATAGTTTTAATCCATTTGCAATTCAATTCCTAAATTTCAACTTGTTATAATTCTATTCTTGTAGATTTGATTTAATTGTAATTCAGTTTTTTAATTTTAACTCTTGCAACTCAATTTTTATAGTTTTAACAATTTAAATATCAGTACCTATATTTTAAAAAATAAAATTATAAAGATTAAAACTATTGTAAAATTTTAATCCTTATAATATTTGTAGAAAATTGGTTGAGATGGTTTGAGCATGTACAAAGAAGATCAAGGGAGGCACCAGTGAGAAGAGTGGAACATATAACTTTGAGTCCGATTAAGAGAGATAGAGGAAGACCTAAGAGAACACTCTTGGAAGTTGTTGAATGCGATCTTTTAATTAATAATATTCCTAAAAGCTTGATAAACGATAGAGCACAATGGCGTCTTGCAATCCATGTAGCCGACCACACTTAGTGGGATAAAGGCTTGTTGTTGTATAATATTTATAAAGATTAAAAGGTTTTAGTAACAAAATTAAAATTTTAAAATATTTTTAATCTTTATAATTTTATTTTTTAAAATATAGGAATTAATATTTTAAATGTTGAAAACTATAGGAATTAAGTTATAAAAGTCAAAAGTTAGGGATCGAATGACAACTGAATCAAAAGTATAAGGACTGAGTTATAATGAATTAAAGTTCAGGATTAAATTATAACTGAATCAAAATTTAAAGAATCAAATAATTATATACCTTAATCTTCATGGAAACATTGTAAATACTTCATGTCATTTATAATTTTTGGTGGGAAGGAGTGGATGTTAGTGGCAAAACTCATTGGACAGCCTAGGATGAGCTTACACGACCGAGAGCTAATGGTGGGATGGGCTTCAAGGATTTTGTTTTTATGAATTATTCTCTTTTGGCTAAAACAATGTGGAGGGTCATTCATTATCCGAATGACCTTTAGGTGACAGTATTGAAAAGTATTTATTTTCCAAGAAAGGAATTTGTGAATGCCGATAAGGGTTCTAAAACGTCTTAATGTTGATCTAGTATCATCGATGGGAGGGACTTCCAAAGGAAGAATCTTTTGTGGGACATTAGCAATGGTGAATCTATTTGAATTTGGGATGACTAATGGGTACCTAATGCAAAATTCTTGAAAAAGCTTGAAGGTGATACTAAATATATCATTAATTATGGGCATGTTTCAAACTTGACTTAGAATGGAAATTGGGATTTGTCTCCACTCTAAAGATTGATCAGTAATGAGCTTCTCATGGCCATTATTAAAATGTCAATTCCTAGAGTGCCTCTGGAAGACAAATTGATTTGAACTGCAGCCCCTAATGGCTAATACAATGTGAAACTCGCCTCTATAGAGGCAACGAAGAGACAAGCTAGCATCTCCAATAAAGCCAGTCCATCCACATTGATCTCTGAGACTACATGGAAGCATGTTTGGAAAATTAAAATAGTCCCTCGCATTCAACACTTTGTGTGGTGCATACTCAACAAGTCAATGGCTAGCAATGACGCTTTGTATAAATGGAAGAGATGGAATATGCACTTATGTCCTATGTATGAAGCTGAAAAGAAACTATTGAGCATCTATTCTTTGCCCTAGGGTGAGGTGTGTGTATGGCTCGGTTGCAGTCTAGGAATGAAATTCCCTTGTTATAATGTCACTAGCTTTGAACTGTAGTGGCTACATCTTTGGCAATCACAGAGTAGCTTCTTGGACTGTGAAATTGCTTTTATTTGTTGTATCCTTTGGGCTATTTGGGAGGGGAGAATTTCAGTTAACAACTAAGGAGGAGATTTAATTTTAGGTAAGTTTAAAAATATTTTAAAATTTCAGTTTAGTTTAAGGAAAAAAAGTTAAAAGAATTTTGATGGTGAAAAGATCAAAATACCCTTAACGTGTTATGCAAAATTACTAGTTGTTAATTTTCTTACCGCATTTATTAATTTACTAATATTAGTTATAAATTACATATGATTGTTAGTAACATTAGTTGTTAATTTTTCTAACTTTACTTATTAATTTACTAATATCAGTTGTAAATTATAAAACTTATCAGTAATTTATAATTAATGTTAATAAATTATAAGACCTGTCAATAATTTACAATTGATATTAGTAAATTAACAAATAAAGTTAGCAATTTAATAATTAATGTTGTTGCTTATGATTGAAAAAAATAATGTCAAAATTTGTATAATTATTGGCATGCACACTTAGGCAATTTGCAACTCATATTTACAAATTGACAAGTAGAGTAAGAAAATTAATAATCAGTGATTCTGTATAATAGGTGAAGGAAATTTTGGTCTTTTCATCTTTAAAATTCTTTTAACTTTTTTTCATTAGACTTAACTGAAATTTCAGAATATTTTTAGACTTATATGAAATTAAGTTTCTTCTTTGATTCTGAACTGAAATTCTCTCATTTGGAAGCATCCTAACAAGATTCACTTCAATCGTATTGCACCTAGCCCTTGCTTGGTCATAACCAAGGCTTCGGCATTCCACAATGAAGCATGATACGTGTTGAATGGTGAGCAATTACCACTATCCTATACTGTTGACATTTGTGATGATTCTCTTAATTAGTGGAAAGCCCCTCATAGGATTATCTCAAAATTAATTGTGATGGGAGTTATTCTAGCAAATACGATGATGTTGCTATGGGTATTGTTTGCCGTGATATAATGGGTTCCCATTTATGGGGATTTGTTGATAAATTTAAGTCCAACTCTGCTATTATGACCGAGGCTCTTGCACTTCAAAAAGCCCTTGTGTTGGCCATTGATATCGGCAGGGATAAAGTTGTCTTTGAAACTGATTGTCAACTTTTGGTTAAGTGCATCTCTTAGAAAATTCTAGACCTAGCAGACTGGAGGTGTCGTGGTATTATTTAGGAACTCATTGATAATTTTGCATCCAAGATTGAGTTTTCTCTTTCTTTTACCCCTCGAAGGGTGACCGTGTTGTTGACCAATTGGCAGTTGATGCTTATAAGGGAGTGAGCCGGTGGTGTGGGTTTTAGAGCCATCACTCTTTTTATATTCTATTTTGATCACAGATCCTAAGGGAGTTGTGAATCCAGATATGGATACTGCTAATCCAGGTTGTAGATATAGCATTGGTTGATGCTATTTGTTTGACTTTTCTTTCTTTATTTTTATCTTTTCTAGTTTCGTTTCTTCATTTATAATTCTCGAACCTTTTCTCAATTTAAGGTGTATTTAGTTTGAGAGAAGGGAAATAGAGAGGAGGAAAAGAATTTAATATTACCTTATTTGGTTCAAGAAGAGAAAGGAGAAAAAATAATTATATATGAACAATTTTACCCTCATTTTATCAATATTAAGATACTAGAAAAGTGTATTTTTATTTTTTGAACTTATCATAGAGGGCATATTGGTTAGGGTATAAAAAATTTTACTCCTTCCCTACCAACCTTCCAAATTTCAAAAGGAGAGCTTGGAAGGGAGGGGAAGGGAGATTTATGTAAGTGTCTTGATAATGATAATTAAAATTTTAAGGAGCTACATTTTAAAAAGAATAATAAATGAAGTAAAAGTAAAATAAAAAGAACTGCTTAATGTTTTATATTTTAAATCAAGTAAGGTTTTTAAAAAAAATACTCTACATCATGAATTATAATTTAGAGGGAGTATGTTTTAATAATTTCCAATTCGAGATCGTCTATTAATTTCTTGGTGCTAAATAAGCTGACGTCAATTTTATGGTTGTCTTGCTCAATTCTTTTTTCCCTACATCTCAATATTATGAATTGCAATGTTTTGGTGTGTGTTCAAAATCCAATCTTTTCATTGCGAGAGAATTATTTTGTATTCGAGTATTATTAGGTCTTTATAGGAATTTAAAATGAAAAAATATAAACCATTTCATGTTGAAGTTTACAGTGACCAAGCTTTTTAAACAGAAAAATAGCATACAAAGATCATTATATAAAATTTATATCCCATAAAGATTAAATGATTTCAAAATAGCTCTGCAGCCCTCTAGTCCTTCTGACATATTAATTTCATAAGCGAAAAGATTGAAATACCCCTCAAGTAGTTAAAAAAAAAAGAAACACTCACTGTCGCGGGCGATAGCCGTTGGACCACCGCCTGTGGTGAGGTTGACAAAGCCCTTATCATCGGAGCTTCGACGCCAGTGATATTTTATTTGAGAAATAAAATTTTTATATGGTCAAGGGAGGGTTTGATCTTATAACCTTTGGCCACTTAAAAAGCACTAGGCCACTAAATCCTTTAATGATATATGGCAATATATATATATATATATATATAAGTACTAAACCAAGTACAAAACCACTTTCATGTAATAACATAATAGTGTATTGTTAATTTTTGAACAAAACTTGTTACTTTACAAATATCACTTATTAATTTAATATGAATAATTACAAATTAGGACTCACTTTACTTGTTAAACATTCTAATGTATTGTTGTCAATGCAAATAGGTTATTGTTAAAACCAAATGGATACTTGTTAGTGAATGACTAACACGTGCAACTAAACTATTCCTATCAATTTTTGTAACTTGTTAAAACCATAATAGAT